CCGGCTCCCGTGTGTTCCTGCTACTGTACGATGGTGCCCTTTAAAGAAACTTACCTGATACACTTTGGTTTCCAAATTTATTTGTTAAAAAAACATAAAGGGATGAAAGGTATTGTATAAGAATCCTATGGCCGGTGGAGAAGTTTCATCGTTTCATCCGAATGACGGTTTCAGCCAGTTTCAGCCCAACCCCAGACTGACGGCGACGGGGCTGCGGGCCTGGGGAAGGCCCCGGCCTGGGCACGGAGCGCTCGGCCGGCCTCTCCTGCTGCTCTGCGGGGTGTCGTGGCCGCAGTGTGGACAGCGTGGGTCCCCTGTGTCTCTGTGTCCCCCTCCCCACATGCCTGGCCCCTCGTCCCCAGAGGTAAAGGCCTGAGAAATTGCGCTTTGACGCATTTTTTACCTTAAACTTTTTCCGGACAGATGCTTTGTCACCAGGACATGAAACGCTGCCATTCTTTCAAACTTCTTAAAAATGTTCTCTGTATTGTGTGCCACACTCAGCTCTGAGGGTTTTTCAGAGAGTCCGTATCACATTTTATTAATTATTTGTACTGCTTTTGAAAGGCGGCGAGGTTTCCGGTGCTCACCGATGTGTGTCCTAACCCCTTTTCCTGAGCATCCCTGCCACTGCCAAGCTGGCAGGTCGTCCTCGAGAGCTGGGCCGCCTCACGGCGGGCTCGGCGACACTTAACCTGCAGACATTCACCGATGGGTCCGTCCTTCGACAAGGAGGCAGGTTCTGAAGGTTGTGCAGTTATCAAGCCACCCCATCACAGAGCACAAGGAGGACCTTCGAGAGCTTCTGGTTCCTTCCGCAGTGCCCACCTCCAGCTCGCCAGCGAAGCCATGAAAACGTCCACGGACTTGGGCGCGACCCCTCTCCGGGCACGTGGCCCCCTCGGCCCCTCCGTTACTTTTCTTGTTCGCCTCCTGTGTGGTCTTTCTTGGAGTGATCAGGCACTAAGGTATCAAGGGGCAGAGCGCTGGCTTCTACCCCATGGGCCCAGGAAGCGGACTCTCCCCTCTGCTTCCGGGGACCCTCGGGGATTCCACTGTGACGGTGATGAGTGGAAAGCCGGTCACCCCGGGACCCCCGTGGACTGGTGCTTGGGGACAGGCCCCTGGTGCGCGGACGGCTCTACCGAAACGGGCTAGGGGGGCTGCAGGGGTCGCCGCCTTCCCTGCGCCCGCAAAGGCCATTCTCATCGAGTGTCCCAGCAGGCAGCGAGCTCCTCCCCAGACACCCTGTCGGCCTGTCCTGGCCCACACGCCTCCCCACGCCTCCCGCGGGCCATGCGGTCGGTCGATGTGTCACGGCTCAGCCCTCAGGTCTGCGTGGGCCAGGTTCGCTCTTGCTGACCAGGGCAGGCAGGGCCCAGCGTCTGGTGCACGAGGCAGCTTCGCCACTGGGATCGGAGGCTGTCTCACCGGAGTCCACCCGAACCTTGAATTTGCCGCCGAGCCCTGTGCCAGGAGCATTTGTGGTTCGTGGGCCGTCACCTGGCACTGACGCTCTGATGCTCCTCCCCTCGCAGGTTAGTGAGCTGAGGCACATCCCACCAGCACTTCGCACAGGTGACCCCAGGAAGTCCACGCGGACAGCGGCAGGGGGGAGCGTCCCAAGGCCTGGGCTTCTTCCCGCCAGTGCCTGGGAGCCCCCCACCCCTACCCCGTGCTCCTCTGAAAGTGCAGGAAGCCGGGCGCTCTGCATGGCAGCCAGCTTTGCCCCGAGAGAGCTGCCAAGTTACAACTGTTGCTGAGAAGGGGGAACCTGAGGGCCCGTGTTCTTGACCTTGGCCCGTGTAGCCGGGCGGCGCTGGTGTGGCGGGCGACCGTTAGCAGAGCAGCCCTTAGACTGCACCTCGCCCACCTCCTTCAGGGGCCGCGCCCAAGGACACACCGGTCAGGGCTTGGTAGGACCCGGTCTGCAGACGCCTGGCGTACGCGTCCTGGGTGTAGAAAACCCGGTTTTTAAATCACTCCCACGACCTTAGCCTTTTAGAGAGGATGGTGAGCTTACACGACCCCCGTGGGTTCCACGGGGCCATGTCACCTGAGTCCCGTGGGGACAGGCTGCTGATAGCGTCTTCCCCTCTGTGTTTTTAGATTCGATTGGAAAGTTAGTTTAAAGCATTTGCTTCAAAATAAGTTATTTATTTGTATATGTTCAATAAACATAGTTTTTAATTTATATCTGTACATATTAGACCCACGTTAGGCATCTTTTCAGAATTCTGACAGTGGCCTTGTTTTATTTCCCTCCCGAACCCCCGAGAGGTGCCGCCGCCTCTGGGGCGCCCCAAGAAAACCGTGGGTGGGTGGGTGAGAGCCCGACCCTGCCCCTCACTGCTGGGAGGAGTCAGATTCCTTTTGAAATGTCACCCATCCCTTTAACAGGTAGTCAGTTCACAGAGTTCTCTGAAGCATCCCGACCAAGAGTCAGTAGAATGTGGCGGCCGCACGGGGGCCGGAGCGAGGCCCCGTCTCGGCGGGTCTGGGCCGCTCCTCCCGTCAGGACCCGGGCCCCGCGGTCGGCCTCCAGGGTCTGCGTCCAGTTTCACTGTAAGGCCATCGGCCTTCAAAGTCCCCTCCACTTTTATGCTTCTGTCATGTTTGGACCTCGCCAGCCTTTTTTGCACAGAAGCAAAGTGACGTTTAGGGAAGAGCTTACTGTGTCACCCCGATGCGGGGACAGGCGGAGCGTCCGCCCCCCATCCCACCCAGGCCCAAACTCTGCAGAGGGTCGGGCGAGCCCAGCGGTGCGCGCGGAGAAGCCAGCAGCCCCTCGCCCAGCTTCCTGACAGCTCCGCCACAGGGTGACGAGCAGGCTGGGGGACAGCAGGTCCCGGATGCGGACCAGCACCCGGAGGGCGAGGCCCCCGCACGCAGGACCTTCCCGGACGCCTCTCTCGGGACAACTCTGGGGACCTTGGGCAGCTGTGAGGTGAAGCCAGTCCTGTCCCTCTGGGGGTGGCTTCCGGGTGCCGGCCTGGTCGTCTACCGCGTCCACCTCCCCTGTCCAGGCTTGTTTTGGCTGTTTCCGTGAACCCCAGGCCAATCTGATGGGTCGGGGGTTTGTCGCCTTTTGCAAAACCTGCTTCAAAACCCGTGTGTGTCCTAGGCCCTGAAGGCCACCCCCAGAAGGCGCTTCAGGGTTTTAATTGTGGGGACAATTTGGAACTTTTGCGCAGGGTTCTGAGGAGACAGCTATGAAGCTGGGGG